ACTTTTGTTTTGATTTTGTCAACATAGATTTTCCCTAATTTATTTGAAGGTAAGCAGAAAAAATGAAATCTACATATTAGGCTTCTCATTATTTACTCTGTCTTTCTCTCCCTTTCTTTCCCTATCTCTCTCTACCTCTCTCTCTCTCCCACCTCCCCCCCCCCCCCACCCTCTCTCTCTCTCTCTCTCTCCATCTATCCCTCTTTTTTGCTCCTCCCCTTTTTCTCTTTCTTCCTCCCCCTCCCCCTCTTTCCTTTGCCCACTTTCTCTTTTTCTTTCTATCTCTCTCTCTCTCTCCCCTCTCTTTCTCTCCCACTGTCTCTGTCTGTCTGTCTTTCTTTCTCTCTCTCTCTTTCTCTCTCTCTCTCTCTCTCTCTCTCTCTCTCCCTCCCTCTCTCTCTCTCTCTCTAGCTCTCTCGAGAAGTCAATGGTCTGCTCAGGAAGCCAGGTACAGCGTAAGGGCAGCCAGGCCAGCGCTATGGCTATGCGTGTTAAGCTCATTAGGGAGTATGTGCGTGCAAAGCTAGGCTTGGCCCATGTCAGCCCTACTCCGTAATGCGACTTGCAGACCCCGCTGCCTGACATACGAGGGGGCAATACCAACCGACCGCGTCACGCCAAACCTCAAATAGCCCATGTCAGTGAGGGGATATCTCACTCTCATGGGATGTGTAGTTTCTTGCGATGGTGTATTCTAAAGTGATATGTAGGCCTACATGTATAGTATATATATATCTTCTGCTTTGAACCAGGACATAACATACTGTAATGCCCCTCTAGCTTTCAGTACACAATATGATATGCTTAATGAGAACTAGAAACTTTTGTGTTTTTAGTGAATTGAGCAGGCATTCAGGCATGCTGTGAAACAATAATGCCGTATGTAAGTCATATTACAAGTTCACCACACAAATTATTTTTAAACTTCTTTAACCTGACACTGACCTTCATCAATGATCCGCGAACGCTTTAATATTGCTAAAGTTTAGGGTTTATATGTACTGGACCTACGTTGTACAGGAACATAGTATGATGTTATGCTGTGTACATGTAGAAATTATTGAAGGTACATTGTAAGAATGGCTTTTAAATTGCAGAGTATACATACATGTACATGTACATCTATATATCTCTGATAGCTACACATGTAGTCATGTATAAACTGAATTAAATCAAATTGAATTGAATATGCAGTGTAGCTGTTTTCAATAATAGTGCATTTTGGCATTCAAATTGGACGTTTTTTTGAAAAGCAAATCAAAGGGAATATAGAATATAGACATTGACATATTATCATTTCAAGGATATACAAATAGATTCATATAAGATTGCTTGTTTTGCAGTCTGCATCTCGCTCACATGAAATCAGTTTCCTCACGATTTCGAGGAAGATTCGAAACCAAAGGGGGGAGAACGGCAGGAAAAATCAATCACAACATGCTGGGTAACTCTAAAAATAAGACGCTGCTAGCGAAGTTGGACAGACTGATTACAAAGAACACTTGGGCCTCAAAGAAATAGGACTTCCCTGAAAGACTCCTGGATACATATAACAGAATTGATCCAGAATCTGGAAAAAGACAGTAAGAAATAGAACTACCCAGAAAAACTCCTGGATACATATAATAAGAATCGATCCAGAATTCGAAAAGAGACGGTAAGAAATCGAACCAGCCAGGAAGACTCCTAGATACATTTACAGTTGATCCACAATTCCAAAAAAGACAGTCCCCATTACCAAAGGGTATGGCGTTGACACGGTTCCTATAGCTGGCAATCCTTATTTGTACCTTCATGTAAGAAATGTAATACGTGAGGAACAAATTCTTAATATATTAGACTACATTCCAACAGGAAGTGTAGAATTTGATTGCTTAACCGACAATTAGATAAGCCGCACGGTCTACTTGTTGCTTGTGATCGCCGCCAATTCGTGTATTTAATTCCTTTTAATCGAGTAGAAACTTTTTGGTCTGTTTCTCCTGGGTCGTGGCGGTATCGCTAATCGCTTAAAAACCCTGCCACTACTATCATGACTGCATCTCCTTCTCGAAGCCAAGATAAATGCTCCAGAGGAAAGTCGTGACTCGAGAGATTAGCAGTGTAGGATGGAGAATGGCGTGGGTCTAGCGCGGTTGCCACGGCGATCTGGCAAGTCTAGACATTGATATATCGGATTGAATAAATGACAACATGTTTAGGTTGGGATTAAGCAGGAAATGGTGAGAGAAAAGAAGGTTCTCTGCGCGCTTATCTAGTGAGGAAGAGGGTTGAAAAGTCGAGGTGTAAGACATCGGCAGGAGCGCGATACAGAAGCCTCAGTGGGCCAATGACTCACGCCGTAGTCTGCACCGCCAGACCCCGCGAGGCACTAACCAACGTCTTAAGGTGTCAGATATCGGCTCACATCCATACAATATTTTGGAGGCTCGTTACTATGGATGAGACACTGAGTCATGTTGTTCCAGTCTTTAGAGTCCTACAAAGTTTCAAACAAAGAAAAGGAGGACGTCCCTGTAGGATAGGTTCATTCATATCCGAGACGGTGACTCACAAGGATCGGGAATGAATGGTCATAGAGAATTAGAAACCATCTTGCCCTAAAGCCAAAGTCTTTCTTCCTGAACTTGTAGCAGCTTTACTATTTAAGATACACCTCCAAGTACCTCTTAATAAACAAATGTATTAGAAAGTAATTTGTGATAAAGCAACTGAAATATGCCCCTGTTTATATACTGTAGCATCAAAGTAATCAAAAACACAAACTTGATATCTTTATAATCTAGGAAATCTAGGAAATTGATAATTAACATTAACAAGTTATACTTTTAAGCGATTACATGTACATTGTACATACTGTATGGCTATTTTTGACACAGCAAATCATCTGTTTAAAGCCAGAAGGGCAATAACTCTGCGTTAAAAAGCATAAAACTAATCATTTTTGTGATTTAGAGGTGGCTTAAAATGAATGGGTCAAACTTGTCATCCTAGATCTTTCAGAAATATTTCAACACCCCATCTCCCCCCCCCCTTCCCAATCAAAATGTCTAGACATTTAGCTTGGAAAAACCCCAATTCTGATGACTCATTTGGGGGCTATGGACCAATGGGTAATGTTCATCGATCTGGGACTCAAACAGCTGCTACTGCTATGCCAACACCCCACCCCCTCCCAAATATACAAATATCATATTATTATGCAACTTCAATGTTGGTGGCTTCGAGTCAACAGGTGCATACGTGGTTCTGGATCTGACGTGCCCCTCTCCCTCCCTCCTCCCCTCCCCTCCCCCTTCCCTATCAGAATTTCGTGTCCTAGCTACGTTATCTTTGTTATTTATTATGTATTATTGAAAAGAACAATTTGTACTTTATTTGAAATGTATATGTAACATGAGAAATATGAAAATAAATGAAAATAAATGAAATGAAATAGTAAAGCATGAACATAAATATTAAATAAATGAAAGGTTTCAAAAGGGGTCAAAAGCAATGTCCTAGAGTTGGTCCAAGGTTACCAGGAGACTGTGGAGGTCTTCTCTGTAATCAAAGACAAGGTTTTTATAGATCAATGACTCATAAAGAAAGATCTACTGGTATACTTGTGATGAGAGACTGTAGGCAGACAAGGCTGTACTTTTTTGGTTGATCGTTTATAAATAGCCTTCTTTAATTAACAATGATAGATGGGAATACACGTATACAACCAAAATGCATAAACAGTGTGTACATTGGTTTATCATCTAATTCTAATATCATTGTTTACCCAACAAGAATATAGGGGAATATACCCCCCCCCCCCCCAAAAAAAAAAAAAAAAAAAAAAAAAAAATAGCATTTGCATGGCATCAGCTACTTGTAAGAGCATTCCAATATATGCTCATGAATCTAGGAGAGTACTTTCCTTTTTTTCTAAATTAAAAAAATTAAAAATGCATAAAATATCAATTTCTAGACCGTACTGACATTATTTTTACAATCATTGTTTGATTATTTTTGCAATCATTGTTCGATTATTTTTCAAGCATCAGCAGTAATTTCTCAAAGGATTAATATCTGGTATTCTATACACTTCACAAACATGTAGACCCACGTATTCCTTCTTACCTTGTATTCCAACACTTGTCCTCCCTTTTCTCTCCTCCTCCCTTTTGCTCTCCCTCTCCTCTTCTCCTTCTCTCCCCTTTCTAAAACTCATCTTCTGTTTCTATATAAGCCTCCCTTTCTCCCCCATTTACCCTTTCTTTCCCTCAATCACTTAAATTCTCTTTCTGTCTCTTTTAATTTTTCCTGCCTCCTTTGCTGTCTCTTTCTTCTCCCTTTCTCCGCCCACTTCTCTCTCTCTCTCTCTCTCTCTCTCTTTCTTTCTCGCGCTCTCTCTCTCTTTCATTCTCACTCTCTCTCTCTCTCTCTCCCTCCCTTCCTCCCTCCTTCTCTCACTTCTAACATGTCCTCCCTTAATACTCTTCTGCTTCCTCTCTTTCTCCCTTCTCACCCCCTCCCCCTCTCTCTCTCTCTCTCTCTCTCTCTCTCTCTCTCTCTCTCTCTTCTCCCATTCTCCCATTCTCTCTCTCTCTCTTCCACCCCCATCCATGCCGTATCCATGACGCTTCTCCACCAAACCATCCATTCTATACCCGCCCGCACACCAAAAAGAAAAAAAACTCCCCATGCCATCCAAACTCCAGGTGCAAGGGCAGACATATGCCCTCAGCCGATCGAATGGCTCCACCGTTGTAGTCGTCGGGAGTTCAATATCATCCGCACGGAAACAGGGTTGATTCCATGCATTTCAAACACAGTATATGGCTGATGTATTAAATGTACATGTGTGCTATATTATGCACAGAATGCATGCATACGGACATGAACGACACTGCTAGATGAATATCACTGGCAAAATAATCCAGGAATGTTTAAAGACAGTTTTGTTGCTTATGATTATTCTCATCGTCATTTCAATAAAACACTCATATAGTCTTTGACCTGCAAGTATATCACATCAATTAACTCAGTAGTACAGTCATTTTGTCAATTTAGTTTTGGGTTGATTTGATATGATGTTTATTACATCAACATTTATATACTAGCTTTTACAATCTTCTAACTTTTGATGTATGATAATGACATGGTAAATTCAGAAAAGGGGTCATCTTAAGCATTTATAAGCTTCTAGAAAAAATAAAAATAACAATATACATGCAATTTGAAGAAAGTTACTGTACATTCATGATAGTTGTGCACGGGATACACTGAAAAGAATATGGATGGATCTACCTACATTGTAGATACAGGTAGGTGTACAAAAATATTTCCCCATTTAAGTTATGAGAATGAACATTTTAATTATTACTTGTTGCGCAGCCAAAACACATTTGGTTTTGTATTGAGTTTTTATAACCTTTCAACTTTCAACATATCATTCATGCATCCCTACAAATAAAAATGAACATACATGTAGACAATTTACCCATTTTCTTGTATTAATAAACTATTTAAATGCATTCTTTTTCTTACCTGGATTGAAGAAGATGGTTGATTTCAAATATGCAAATTCCTTATCGTCGATCTGGAGTGTTTGACACTTCTGGAAAAACGCATTTAAAGTATCTATGTCCGACGTTGTGGGAATTCCTTGCGTCGCAATAATATATTTCAGTAGGGCGCCCTCGCGGCAATCCTTTTCCGAGCAGGATTTGGCGATGGACATTGCCGACGACGCGGGTTTACTATTTACACCGGTGTTCACGTTGTTGTTGTCTTGCGAGTCTTTGTGAAAGGAGACTTTTTCAACTTGTATGTGGAATTGACATTGCGCCATGGTTAGGATGAGGAGTTCTGACCAGCAGTGCTGGAGGAGTCGTACGCGATCACTTCGTGACAGACACAGCACCGCGGGTAGATTCCTGATGAAATCGACCGTTTTGATGAGGAGCTGGGCTGCGTACGGACACGCCTCCTCCGCATGTTTAAGTCTGATGATCGTGGGTAGAGTATGTAGCGCCCTCATTGGGCAGTCCCACGGATATATTGCCTCCTGTTGGTTGCTCCCCGCCTCCTCTTCTTCCGGCTTAATCGGTTGGCACTGCGCGTCCTCCGTCGCTTCCGTCTTCGGCGATGCTGACGGTGCCGCGGTCGACGATGTCCCTGATGATAATAACGTATATAGAATGCTGTGGTGGTTCTTCTTTTCTGGACAGTCACACTGTGACGTCGACGTATTGGAGGGATTGGTTTTGGCACTCATCATAAAACAATTTCGGTGGGATTGTTCGTTCTCTCCTTCCTTCCTTCTCGTCTACAGCTTGTTTCGTCTCTCCTCACGGGAGGAAGATCTGAGGTGGAACAAAGATACCATGAAACATAGCAAAATTCTCTGTTAAAGATTATTGACCTTATAATATCAATTGGTAGCATTCATAATATGAATAGGGTAGATAGAAGATAAATCACAGATAGATGAATGGAAGGTAGATTTAAAGGTAAAGACCAGTATTGGAAACGCCCCAATTTCAAAAAATGAAATGGAAGCTCTTATTACCAATCATGTAAAAGAATATGTTTTGACTCATACATGTACATAATGATAAAAAATTTGCCGGGAAACCGCCTACTAATTGATATATTTGGTAAATTAGTATATCTATTGGACTGTGAGAGATAAACACATGTGTCGCGCACGTGTGCGTAGCCCCATATACATCTTTCTGTGTACAGTGCTTGTAACTTTACGAAGACTGGGCCAAATTTCTGATCATTTTGATGATTCCAGAACCTTGCAGAAGTTGCAGTACACACCAATACTTATATGCTAGATGATCAACCTTTTCTGATCGATTCCACAACGTTTCTTTCACAATGCAATTGCATGACCATAATCTGGTCTTAACCTTTAAATAGAGGAATATATAGATAGAAATTAAGAGATATACAGGTAGGTAGACCAAAAGGTAGAGCTACATATTATTTAATATTCAAGTACATAGCAACCAGCAAATCATCCTGACATTGAACTTTACCATTGAAATTAAATGCTACAATTACTGTATGCAGATGATGCAGGCGCTTAACACTATTTCAATCATACAATGTATACATATTTCATCAAATATTAAATTTAATGAGTTTTTTGTGCTGTATGGCCCTGAAAGTAGAACCAGAAGGCCAAGGGGGAGGACGTGGAGGGGGTAGCAGGGGAGGGGGTGACAGGGGAGGGGGTAGCAGGGGAGGGGGTGGCAGGGGAGGGGGTGGCAGGGGGAGGGGGTGGCAGGGGGAGGGGTGGCAGGGGAGGGGGTGGCAGGGGGAGGGGCAGAGGGACGGGGAGCAGGAGGGCTATCGATTACCTCCTATCTCCACTCCAAGGAGTTCTTCCTGCCCCCTTTCCCCCTGCCCCCTTTCCTCTCTGCCCCCGTCCCTCCCTGCCCCCTTTATATTCCCCATTGGCAGGCTTATCATCTACATGTATCACAAAAATAATTATTTTTTAATCAGCATACTGTAATTACATGTATAGTCATGGACACTTGTCTTTGGACTATTAATGGGATATGTCTCACAAGCCACAAAATCTTACAGAGAAAGGTAATGTTCATGTGCAGCCACTGTTAAATGGAATAACTTACCGGAATACCTAAAGTAATTACAGAAAAATACCAAAGTTCAGAATATCAGAATACAAATTTATTTAGCACTTTGTAAAATCTCAAAATTATGAACCGACTGAAGTGCACCATTTCCACTCCTTTTGTTTAAAAAGTAAAATGGTATACCAATAATGCGACAACAAATTTTCCGATACTACAGATATACACATATTGTGTAAATTTACAGATTAAAAGATAAAATTTATATTTCAGTTTTAGGGATAGCTGACATAAAATACAAATGTATCTGTGTGGCATCAATAAATATTAGATTAGTACCTTTCCATCACCTCCTTTTTTACTAAGAAATGGCAACAAATTTGTATATTGCTGTTTTGACCAATTACTGTACATACAGGGTGTACACATGTACACTGTACATTACACTTTTCATTTTCGGTTTCCAACCTTATCTATTACAATTAAATATAATACTAGAAAGTGTTTTTATCTCCTTTTAATTGGATTTGGCTCTTGATTTGCTATACAGAGGATAGATGTTAAAGCTTTTTACTACAGCTGTAAATGTATGTACCAGTGGTGTAGCATTAGTTCACTCACTGAGAGGGCACTGGGACTATTCGGGGGCACACTTTTTACCCGGGGAAATGAATAAATGGCTACTGGTCATGGGGTTGACCTGTGCACAAGACGGCCCAAGTGTCTTCTTTAACTGTCCTCTCTACATTCTTCAAGTCCCTTTCTCTTTTTTCTGGGCTTTTCTGTATTATATTCTTTTCACCCCTCGTCCGGGGGGGGGGGGGGGGGGGGGGGGGGGGGGGGGCACATGCCGCCCCCCATGCCCTCTGTAGCTACACCACTAATACATAATATGCAAAATATTGATGATTACAATACATTGCTTTAAACTGTGAAAGTCCCTTTACATAACAATAAGCTTAAGTGTCGGATAAATAAATATTGCAATTAAGATGTAGTCAGTGATAATACAAAAACAAAACAGAAATAATGGAGGGATATCACATTGCATTACAAAAATATGTGTTTGTTACTTCTGTAGTTCCTTATTGGCAAATTAAGATGCGGACGTGATCATTCTCACTATGTATAAAGGGAAATTTCAAGTATTCGAAAGTACAATGACATGATAATTAGCTACTTTTAATCAAGTAGACAAGAAAATTAATGCTGTAGTACATGTAAGCCTACATGTAGCTATAGTACAATGTGATTGAAGTAAAAACAGTCACGTAGCGAAAGTAAAGATGTAATATGAAGATCGTAAAAGTGTTCGATAGCATTACCACTTGTAGTGCCAGCAATATTCTGGAGGTGTTGTGGCATAGTGGTTCATTTACTGACTCTTGATTCAAGGTTTGAGGGTTCAAATCCCAGTCGAGCACGTACATCCTTTGGCAAGATGTTAATCCACATTTATCACTCTCCACTCAGGTGTGGGTACCTGGCATTTGCTAGGACAATAATGATTGCAGGGCCCTTGGGAAGAACAGCATTTATGCAGATGAGGCTTCCATGGGTAAATGTTATCATTATTATCAAAATTATTATTGTTAATATTCTTGCCATTATCATCATTATTATCAATATTAGTATTATTATTATTAATATCATCATCAATATCATTATTATTGTTATTACTTTAGTAGTAGTAGTAGTAGTAGTAGTAGTAGTAGTAGTAGTAGTAGTAGTAGTAGTAGTAGTAGTAGTATCACCAATTCAATAGTGGTAGATTGAATACTGAATTTACTGATTATATATTTCTTAGACTCTTCCATGATATGGGCAGCAAATCTCAACAAGAACATGTTCTGGTATATTTTTGTTCACTAAAAAGAAGCAATTCTTTGGTCTCAAAAAAAAAATATGTACAAACATTTTGAGAAATGTCCTGGGGATGAAAATATAGCCTAACTTATCCAAATATTTACACAATTTACTCATTGGAAATTCTCCAATGAATGATAATGATAAAGGGTATTAATGAACTGCCTGCCATTTTTTTAAATAAAATAACATCTCCTAAAAAACACAAAATGAATTCCAAAGTCTACAGTACAGTAAAAGTATACATACATGTGAAATGTTTCCAACTAGACAAGAATTGTCATTAGAGAAATATGTTTAATGCATCTGTGAAGTGTTTTTTGAAAATTATTGTGTCAATTTTGCTTTTGCCATATTTTTTTACTACTGTACATCGAGAAAAGTGGGAGTTAAATGTTAATTATCATATATTCATGCCCTTTTCCCCTATATTCTAGCATAGATTCATGAACAATAAATCTATGATATAAAACTTGAGAATCTATAGTTATGTATAATATCAACATAATGTTATCTTTGAATGTTAGGCTTCCTGGGAGAGGTTTCAATTGTTGTGAGAAATTGTTTAAAGAAACATAATTTTACTGACAAACAAGCTCCTACAAAATACATTAAATTTTAATACAAAACCTTATGTGACATGCTGCTGATTTACAGTTATAAAAACTTGAATTTTTGTAGCCTACAAAATCCAAACTGCTTTCACAAATTATATAAAAATTCATCCCTTTTGACTATTTATGGTAACCTGTACATTCTTCTCCATACAACAGAATTAATATTAATGTTCTATCCTTGTATAGTGTATACCAACTCGCATACAAGTACATGTACAGTATGTCCCTATGCGCTATGGATATATTAAATCTCTCATGAATATAATCTTTTGTAGTAATGTCACTGAGCTCTAAAAATATGAACTTGTTTAATATCATTTTTACATTATCAGGAAATTGCATCATCATTACACCCCTTTTTTCCTCTATTTGTAACTTAAATATCTTCAAATGTAATTTGTTGTCTACGTTTTTCCAGCTTTTCATTATATCTTAAATCTGTCATTTTGTGCAATTTTAGTTATGGTCACCTCCATCAAGTTTTTAACGTTTTTTATTTCAATTTCCCATTTTTGGATTCCTACTTGTACATTATATGATTTGCAACTTTGTCAGGTCTATTGACAAAGTCAGAAACCTTTGAATGTTCTAAGCAGTATTGTATGGTAGTAAAAGTAGAACTAGTAGTAGTAGTAGTAGCAGCAGCAGTAGTTGTAGTTGTAGAGGTAATTGAAGTAGTAGTAGTAAAAGTAGAGGTAGTAGAAGTAGTAATAGTAGAAGTAGAAGTAGAAGTAGAAGTAGAAGTAGTAGTAGTAGTAGTAGTAGTAGTAGTAGTAGTAGTAGTAGAAGTAGAAGTAGAAGTAGAAGTAGTAGTAATAGTAGCAGTAGTAGTAGTAGAAAAAGTAGAGGTAGAAGTAGAAGTAGAAGTAGTAGTAGTTGTAGAAGTAGAAGTAGTAGTAGTAGTAGTAGTAGTAGTAGAGGTAGTAGAAGTAGAAGTAGTAGTAGAAGTAGTAGAAGTAGTAGAAGTAGTAGTAGTGCTAATATTAGCGGTAGTGTAGTTATTATTGTTTTTGTTCTGGTTGTAGTTTGTGCTATAGTTGTAGAACTAGAAGTAATATATAGCAGCTATAATATTTTCTAGTTTCCTTTACAATGCTGTACAGTAGTCTTATAGGGTATCATATGTGTACTCAGTTTGGAATGGTATTTGGTCAGTCAAATAAACATTATCATGGTTTAATACTTGTGATAATTTTTCAATTATCTCAAATATTAGATGCAAATAGACAACAAATATTTTGCCTTCAAACTGCATGTATGAGATACACTCTATGCCATACCATAATGCTGTAGTAGACTTTATAGATTCATGGCCAACTTAAATATCTTCCTTCAAAAAATATTATGCCTATTTCATCATTTCTAGTTATATAGGTATAGTTCCATGTGAGTATATTGCCACTACACTTCATACATCATTTTGTTCAGTGCTAATAGTAATAATATAGGCATATTATGTTCCCTAATAAACAAGATATTTTAATGAGTGAATTATACTGATAACAGATATGCATATATATATTATGCCTTCTTGTATAGTTCCTACATGTAGGCCTACATACATGTTCATGTACACAAATCAATAATTGATGTAATTTATCATTGTTATAGATCTTTATTGGATCAGGGTATTTTTTTTCCCTTAGAGTTTACTTTAGGGGAATATAGTTTGTAGCAGGTGTATGATGAAATAATGAATACATCAATTTATGAAATGGAAGGGGCATGTTTGTAATGTTAGACATGAACATGTGCTTTTACATTGGAGTTTGCTTCGAGTGAAGAAAATTAGCACTACATCTAAGAAACATTTTTTCTCAAATATCTCAGCCGGATCGGAGGTTGCAGTGTACACGTACACGAGTGTATGACTATGAATAATGATTATACATGATCGACCGGTATAATTATATTTATAATATTCTTCATGGTTTAAACTATGGCTGAGGCAATTGAACAAACAACTGAGGTCACTGTTGTTTATTTAAGGCCACAATTAAGGTCTAACAGCGGGGTCCCTGGGACTAAATACATCATGTATCGACGTTCTCCTTTTAATACCGCGAAGTGACATTTTTCGTCCATATTTTCTACCGCGGACCTGCTTAGCTGCATAGCCGGTGTATCGGGCGACTCTCGCTTCCAATACCCGTCCCTCGTTCACGTTCAATTTCAATGTCGTGTTGACATGCAAAAACCGTACAACATGTATGCCGCACGCACTGTTATCGCACAACAATCTTTTTCTTCAGCTTCATTAAACACGCTATGCAAAGACGTCTGCCTATATAAATACAAGAATAAATAATCATACTCTACCTTATCTCTTGGTCCAGATATACGGGAATATTCCTTAAAATCACATTTGCACTGCGCGGTGGTTTCACAGTGAGCGGTTATTACATGAAAATAGAAATCTCACATCATATCGCACCGATCGTTTGGTCTTGTACTTGTACGTTGAATGAATGGGGGTTCGCGTACGGTATATCGCTGTACAGTAGTGCACGTATATGGCAGACATGTGTTTGTAGTTTTTTTTTTTCCCCCATGAAATATTGCCTTTCGATTCAGAGTTCATTACCCTGACCCATTTAGCATCTGCGCGCTGATTGGCCAGTGCGACGAATTGCCGGAGGACTTCACGCAAGCTGATTGGTGAAATGTGCAGCTGACGGAATAATGGCTACAGGCCCCCAAATGAGCATAAACCTTGAAGAACAAAACCAGCACAGACAGTTAGAAAAGACCAAATTGCGGATACTATGCACTTAGACGCGTGCCGGGGCCTGAACCTAACTTCAAATCTATTTCTTTGATGTTGTTTGTGAGAGAGAGAAAGAGAAAAAGCACATGATGAAAAGAATAACTGTGAAAGATGTCAGTCAAAATTGTTTGTGGTAATTGGACAAACCGTCAAGTATCATTTTCATGGTCACACATTAAGCATCTGAAATATGACACGACCGCTCACAAGTCGTATGGTAGGCCCTAGTTGAAAAGGCGTCGATAAATCTAGTAGTATTTGGCAACAACTATTCTGAGGAAATTAACACTGGAAATGACAATGAAAGAAACAAAAGAAACAGAAGAAAAAAAAAATGCATTTTGACCTCCTTTTTTTATCGAAGCCCTTGGGATGACACAGCAGTATGAAAGGCGTGTGGGTATAGATTTCACCTTTTGAATCACAGTTGCATAATATATTTATTTTCTCTTGCAGCAAAACTTAACTATTTGCATGATAACCGGAATGTTGAGGGATCTCACTCTTGGACTATTAACCGGTTTGACATTTTTCGTTTCTTTACGGTAACGACTCCAATTTCGACCAATCAGATGGCTGATTTCTTACGTGAGGTATACATTGTATAATACACCTTAAAAAACCTTTGATGTATTTTTGCAAGCCTTAAAACATAAAGTGGAATTCCCAATGACTTTCGCTTTCTTAATATATACAGCCATTTGATATTTGACACTAACAGCACAGTGAAACAAAAGTTTAATAAATTCGGTGTGTTTTTCAACGGTTTGTTTACATGCGATACGAAAATAGAAAGTAGTAAGATCGCTCAAATTTACATGATGATAGAATAGAAAATAAATTTTGTTTAATAGTTGTAAAAATGCTTATGTTTTGTAAAACAAAATATTCATGTATATACCGTGTGAATGAAATGTCCTAATAAATAATGAAACAATACAACCCTATCATGTAATAGAGTGAAAGCGCTATGAAACTTATTGATGTGACAAAACAAACAAACAAGTTGCAGATTTTGAAGACGAAAATAAAAAACGAATGTCGAAAAATATAATGTGTATAAATAGAATAATGTGAGAAAATGATAATCGTTTATATAGTTACATGCATGTATGTTTCATGTGTACGTGTACAGGGGCAAAACCATTGGGGATATTAGTATTGGAATGGAAAATGAATGAGGAAATGAGAGGAGACAAAGGGGTGAAAGAGATAGGAGAAGAGATATAGAAAGAGGTGACAAGACGTCACAAGAGAGGGGCATAAAGATAGAGAGAGAGAGAGAGAGAGAGAGAGAGGCAAAAAGTAAGGAAAGAGGGAGATATCGAGGGAGACGGGAAAAAAAGAAAGAGAGGAAGAAAGTAAAAAGAAAGAGAAATAATGAGAGAGAGAGAGAGAGAGAGAGAGAGAGAGGGAGGGGGAGCCTACGTTGCAATTCTTCCGATAACATAATTAATTTATTTTCATCCCTGTATTATAATCCAGAAGAGACATACAGTAATACGTTAATTTGTGTCATTCCTGGTTATTGGTTTTATGTAATTTGTATTTATGTTACACTATAATTTTGACATTTTGTTATCCAATGTTATCAACATTTTAAAATGATCCTATCTGTTTGGATTTATTGAATTGTATTGAATTGAATTAATTATGCATACAATTATTTAAAAACTATCAAGGCATGGCATTATTGAATTAGGTAAGTGCACCATATGATTTATTTTTTAAAAAACACTGTCCTAACCAAAAATATACCTGCAAAAATCCCTTTCACTCTACCACAAGGGTCGGCACGATAATTATTTCCCTTAGAAAATTCTAAATTTCCTTTTTAATATTTTAGAACAGATTTATAAGCGAGTCAACCACTGAAAAGACAGAAGACTAATAACTATGAGAAAATATGGGAATTGTTACAGTAATCATCTCAGGTTTCAGGAGATTTATTCTGCTCAAAGATAATGGAATTTTCTATCCGTGCCCAGCCCCCCCCCCCCCCCCCGCCTTCTCTACTAAAAACCACCTAGCAATGTCAATGATTCTTTGTTTCTTATCTGTGAATTTTGTATTCAAAAGATCAGGGCAGATTTAAGGGGGCGCAACTGGCCCGTGCCCATTTTAAAACACCAAATCTCCTTTTGTCCCCCGTCCGCGCCCCCACCACTGAAGGGATATGACTTGTGTTTGCTTGTCAGAAAATTTGAAGAAAACATTGTATCCCTTCTTTTACAAAATCTGCATCCGCCAAAAAAGGGCACCGAAAATTGTGTCGTTCTTTTTTTCTTCTTCCCCTTCTCATCAAAGACAACGATTTTCGGACTTGTGCCCCCCCCCCCCCCACCCCCGCGGGAAGAGAATCCTGTAGCCGGCGCGGCTGCTATCATAATCAATCCCGTTCAATGTCTTGTATTCTGTGAGATTACAAGGAACTTTGAAGGTCACGGGCATGTCGGTCCAGCAAATTCTTGGAACTTCGGAACATTATCCTCGCATGAACCCACATTATTCAAGTAAGGGAACACCGAATTGGTAAAAAAAAAAAAAAAAAGGGCGCGATGTGTTATTAGATACATGATCCTCTTAAACGTGTTGCTGCATGCAGACGTGTAGGTTGTCATGAGTGTGATAAATTAAAGGATTAAGGTATGACAAAATGTTGGTCTTTTGAGGGAAAATCTTCCAAAATCTTCCCCCAAAATTGATCACCTTGTCTTAATGGGCTAGTCAAGCTATACGTTTACCTACCGCAAGGGAGATTTCACTAGAATACCCATTGACTATATAATTATATCAAGCTGAAAGCGCTAGTAGAGCTTGAATCAGAAGAAAATCAAATTAAGTGATCTTGTTTTGTCAACATTACTTTTATTAGTAACGTTGGGATACACGTGTACCCTGGACTTGCTTTAATCAAATATCGAAAGGGAGACAATCAAAAAGAAAAAAAACAAATATACATGACAACAAATGCAATGTGGAAAACCTCAGTGTAACTTGCTATTTGCTTGGTTGCCTAACATGATGTGACATAATAGTTTAATGATACTTCCATGTAAAAGGTCCGTTTTCAGTTTGTATACCCGTTTGATTTTCTTAAACAGAATATAAAAATAAAGCATTTCTTCAGATCACTTAATATATTCCCATTAATCCCATTTAATTTGGAAATTGCCCATGATTATTACTTTTATTATTGCTATTATCATTTGTATTATTGTTATTATCAGTATTGTTATTATCATTATTGATATTATTATCATTATTATTTGATAACATTATTATTATTATTGTTATCATTTTCATTACAGTTATCATCATCATTATTATCACTATAATTATTATTACTATTATTATTATCATCATCATCATTTTCATCATCATCGTCATCATCAATAATTTTGTTCGAAAAAAGCTCATATTCATGTTCCAGGTTATCTATTCAATTGTCAAACTATGCTATACTGCTAAAGGGTTTGTTCTTATCATATTATCTTATTCATAACGCTGATTTATTTGCATTTCCCCTCTACATTATAAACTGTTCTTATTTTTCACAAGATGAATGTTCCCTACCGTCAAGCATTTCTTCCCATTATTTTTCCTTTTTTTTTTCCTTCTGTTGGCTCAATGATCGAATCCATGCATCACGAGCCCAGCCCCTAATGCACCAATCCATCTCCTAGCTTGCTCCAGTATACGGCGGCCCAGGATGCGAAGACAAAACAGATCAAAAGAAGACCACCAACAACAACAATGGTAAAAGAGATAGATGAGCTGCTCCCAGGTTCGTGTGGCGGCGGTCTGCACAAAGAGATGGATGTCTGCTATTAAAACACACAGCTATACAACTTACAAGGTCATTACAGGAGAAACGGTCAGATATACATCCGCATCATTTACACCCTTGCCTTTCGCTTGAACACCAAAAGACACGAAAAGGGAAAGAACCCCCCCCCCCCCCCCCCCTTTATCGACGCCGCATCCTCAAAAAATAATGGCGTGTGGAAGCAGCAGCATCTGACGGAGCGAGAGACCTTGTCCCGAACACCGGCAGTCCATATAGCGGTCAATGATCTCCTTTACAACATCAATTATGCATCACTTTTATACACTCTGTCGCTTCTACTAAATTGGATTTTTGTATGGCGATAAAGTTTACTGGTGAGCCTTTTTTATTCTTCTGTCTTCCTCTCTCACTCTCTCTCTCTATCTCTCTCTCTCTCTCTCTCTCCCTCTCTCTCTCCCTCTCTCCCTCCCACCCTCCCTCCCCTCTCTTTCTCCCTAACTCACTTTCTTCACACTCCACTTGCCTCTGTTTTCTTAACCAGCATTAATGCATGTTGTATATTTGTATGAAGTTTTATGATGCTGCCTATAGTACGTATGAATGTATCTAGTATATCCATTCTTTACATGTAATTTATATTCATTGTTTACATGACAATGCTGTATTCTAACCATTATGATGTATTTTACCTTGTAAATGACCATGCAATTCAGCTTCAGCTGCAAGAACGTAATAGTGAATAAACCCTTATTGAATTGAAATGAATTGAAAATAATCGTTTGTTTATAAACAGTTTCCTCTCTTTCAAAATGTATATTTTCTATTTAAGTCTTTTTTTCCTCACATATAATTATTTCATCCCTGTCACAACGTTCTTCTTGTTGTTTCTTAGCCCTTCCCGAAAGAAAAATCCAGGTGTTACCATTCACGAAAAGAATGGTGTACACGCCCTCATTTTGTTATCAGACAGTTTGAC